TCTACAGACCCATTGAACTGTATGACAAATGCATGGCCACAAGGCTTAAAACAAGGCTGTTATGCCTATTTCATAAAAAAACATTTTAGAAATACATGGTTTCATACTTGCATTATAAATGATGGATCCGATGATAACCCCCAATTATTCATAAGAAATAAGACAATAATACATTAAAATTGCTTGTGTTGTTAGATTTGATTTTCCACCACGTCGCGGGAGGTTTCAGAGCCAAAACCCAGCTTTATTCCCTCAGGAGCCAATATTTGTTTACAGTGGTCTATTTGCTCTGGATAAACTGTGACAGCCTGCTCAGACACCGTGCATATGTGCAGCTCTTAACCAATTTATCATGGGACAAAAAGAGCCTTCAAACCTACCATTATGAGCCCAATGTTAGAGACCGACTGGGAGTCTAACTAGGGTATTACCAAAATGACCCAGTTTCACTGCACGCCACTGGACTTGTTATGGTGTGTTAGTGAATGCTGTTTCACTGCTTCCCTCTCTTTAATTTCCATGCGCACAACCTCTAAATCCTCTTTTTTCTACCTCATTGATTTACAAAGAGATTTTCTGTTTCTGTTGTCAAAGAAAGAGAGAGCTGCAAAGCAATTGTTTCTTTTGACCTTGAACAAAAAGCTTTCTGTTTGAATAATAGTTCCCAAACTCGAGTTTTTGCCAAACACCCTTTTGCAGTTTTGGCGGTAAACTCCTCTCCTACTGCGGATCTGGTATCTGGAGAGATAAATACCACAGCTGCAGACTCCTTTTTGCTAAGATTAAACTGACTAAGATTACATTGGCTTGGATGTCTAAATCATGACGGGAAAGAATGAACCGTGGTGAAAGACGCAGCATCCTTATAAAAAATCTGCAAGTCAATGATTTAGAAAAAAATCTTCTGATCTTTATGTTCCACTACCCTGAATTAGATTTAGGCTTAGTTGTTACAATATCACAGTTGCTACAGACATGTACAGAGCTTTAACTTTTGATGCAAATTTCCATGAAGTTCGTATTCAGCTCTCCAGGGGTTCATTTTGTTTAGAGAAGAAGAAAAGCTTTTGTAAGTTGTGCCTCTGGTAAGATGATTGAGAAGTGGAATGACAGCTCTGTGGCTGCTGTTATGAACAGCTGCACTGTAACGGAGACAGTATTAACAGCTTTAATTGATTAGAATAATTGCATTATGGAGAAATAACTAAGTATGGGCGGAGGGACGGGGTGCATGAAGAATAGAAATGATCTTTGGTGCAGAGATAAATGTGCTATAATATATTTCTAGGAGTGATGGGTGGGATTTATTCCTTTTGCACACCGACATATGGACATTTTCAAAATCATTATGCTTCTTGTATCAAACTTTTATCAAAATTTTATTAAAAACATAACTAAGACAAGACAAAATAAGACATCCATTTAAAAAAGACTCAACTGTATTTTTAACTGCAGTTTTTACAAATGCCAGAAGGCTTTTTGTGATTTGGAGAAGTGATACAGTGATAACATTTAAAAAATCAAACAAACTGAGGGGCCTTTCTCTCTGTGTGCGTCACAGAGCAGGCAAAAATACACTTGTGGCCCTAAATACTTTCAATGGAATACATAATCACTGCTGTGGACGCTGTTCACAAGTTTCCTGTTGGAGCATTGACAGAATCTATAAGCAGGAGGTGGGCTCTTGTCTCTAGGTTGAGTAAGGTCGGGTTAAAACCGCAGGGAGTTGGTGTGTTGGGTGACACATGATGTGATAGATTGGACAGTTTGAGAAGTGTTATTGTCTATTTTTAATACATAATGGACAAGTTGATTGACATGTGCCGCAGGAGCCTTGACTCCAGTGGCTGTTCAGGCTCCGGACTGCTATTAACCCGTCTGTGAGGTGTTTGTTTGCCTCCTCCAACCTGAACTCTAGAGCGACCATAACCCATCAGCCTGGCCTTTAACCTTGCACTCTGGAAGCAAAGAAAAAAAAAATCTCCATGTGGCCTTTGATGTGGGTTGAGTGGCCATATTCAAAGTGCAATGTACACACGCACAAACATGCACACACAGTATGCATGCACTCATTAGTGGAAGAAATACTTATACTCAAAGATTGTGAAATGTATTGGAGTATAAAGTCCAGTATTTCACTCTCACCCTCAGTACTTGAGTAAATACATTAGAAACAGCAATGCTCAGCTCTTTCACTGACTGCACACATATATCTGAAATGGCAATGTGAGGGAACTTACTGAGAAATCATGTGATGTGATGTCAGTAAACTCCACACAAAGCAGGGTTATGTTTACTGACTTACCTGACCTCTAATACCTAAGGATGTTTAATGGGAGCAGATAAAAGAGCTAAAAGTTGTGGGATTATGCTAGTTTCAGCCCTCACTTGGCAGAACTCTAATTCGCTGGCACACTCACCAACAAGGTGGGGGAGGCTGCCAAGCTGTGTGGCAAATCAAGCCTGGTTGCGTCAAATATCAGGTTTGTAGTAGAGCTTAACTGCAGGCCAACCATGAACCGTGACAAGCATGAAGAAAGGGATGATTTTCTGCAATTTTCCGCTGCCTCCCCTGTTTCCTTTTGGAAGATAATTGTTTTAGTTTGCAAGTAGCAACTATGTATGTATGTATGTAGAATGTACTCATGTTTAAAGCTTCTTTAACCAATACTTATAGTAACAATGGATGAATAAGTATAATGTGATACAAACAGAGAATTATAAATTGTCTTTGCAGTTCCTCTCACCTCTATGAAGCTGTTTAACAGCTTTCAGCTCTTTGCTTTGGTTTTATGGTCAAGGGCATAATTTTGCTTTGAGAGGTGTGTGTGGGGGGCGGGGGGGGATTGCTGTTTATTATACTTATATCAGCGTAGTCTGAGTAAACTGTTAGTATAAGTCAGCCATTGGCCGACTCTTTCACTCAGAAGTATTCTCCCCTTTCCAGACTTAATCGAAAGCGACCTGTAGGCAACTGTAGATAAAAACAACTCATTATAAGGAAACAATAATTCCTATATTCAGGTGATTATTATACACTAATAAAAACATACCTATGAATATTATGTTACATTTCTGCCAATAGATCCCTGAAATGTTACACACTGGACCTATAATGACAGGGGTTAAACCCACTCTGACTTTACATGTCAGAGTGGGTTTATTAGTCACAGGGAACACAACCTGTGACGCAGTTGTATCAAGTCATGTAAAGTGACATCACTGCGGTCAATCTCAGCTTTGGTTTATAGATTCAAAAATTCCAGCAGAAAGCCAAACTCGTTTCAAAAGACATGGCCGTTTATCTGGCAGCCAGGCTATAATGAAAAGCATTATAAGAAATGTAGGATTGAAGTCCCATAATAGGAGACTAAAAGTCAGGACATTTTGTCCCTCTGCAGCATCTACAGTATGTATGTAAAAAGATGACAGGCTGAATGCCTGCAATAAAAAGCAGATCTCCTGGAGAGCAGTTTCTGAACTCACATGGTGGGCACTGTTGCAAAAATGAGTCTGCTCCCCCTGAAGGCAAGCAAGTTTAATTCTTAACCTTTCCCAAAAACGAATCAATACTAAGGCCAAATCATTAAGGAGCAGTAAACCTGGAGCACAGATGAAAGAAATAAAGCAATATCAGTGATTTCCTGCAATGCAATGGGGTGTACTGTTATCTATAACCTCTTTAGAAACAAATTAGTATGAATTTTAGAAGGGACTTTCCTTACTTCCTGTATGGCGAGTATCTCCGCCGTGAGGTAGACTAATAGAGAGTCCCATCACTAAGATAGCCCTGCTTTTCAGACTGAAACAAACATCTTTTTGTGCAAAGGGAGGAGGCAGCAGATCATGTGCTTGATATAATCTGTTTATGAAGTGGTAATACAGTGGCCTTCTATGTTTTCTAATCAGCAGGGCCGGCCTCAGCAGTCTGGTCTCTCAGTGATGTTTTGTATTTTGGATTAACAAGGAAGCTAAATTTATGTATGAATGATGTGGCTTTATGGAGGGATGCAGATATGCTTTAACCCTTATCTAGAAATGTACCGTATTTTACATCTCTAGCTAATAAGTTTATTATACCATGCAGACAGTTTTATGACTGATACATCTTCATAAATTCAATTTGCAAAAGTGTGCCGCAACTCCTTCAGAAGTGCTGCCCTGGAAACAAAAACAGTAACTCATTGTTTTCTTAGAGAAATCGAGATAAATCATAGAAAAGCAACTGAGGAAAAAAAAGATCAGAATTGAATCTCACAGAGAAGAACAGACACAATATGTGTGCTAGTATGACACCCAGTGGACAGAGTTTGCAACTCTTCATGCAGTCAGTGTGAACTGTAGTGGATGACAGTGAGGAATTCATGTGATCACACTGCACTGACACGTATTGGATGATTTATTAATGCAGCTATCATAGATGACACGAAATATAGTTTGCATACAACAGGAATACAGCTGCATATTTCGCACGTGTTTAAAGGAATAGTTTTACATTTTGCTAAATATTTTTTCTTGTTGGAGATAAGAAGAGATGGATGAGTAGATTGATACTAAAAATATGAATCTACAGCAAGCAGCCAATTATCTTAGCTTAACATAAAGACTAGAAACAAATAGTATTAAAATATATGATACGTGTTTATTAGTAAGCTGAAGAAGTCCTTGCATTTTGTAAAGTTTAGACAAAGCCAGGCTAGTTGTTTACCTTTGTTTACAGTCTTTGTGCTAAGCTAAGCTAACTATTGGCCTGCTGTACATTCATATTTACACGTACAGATATCAGAGTGATATTGATCTTTCTCATAAAACCTTTTAGCAAAAAGGAAATAAGCATATTTTGCAAAATGTCAAACTTTAAACTTATAAAATCTCAAAATGTTTTTTCAGCTCATTGTGGATGTTTTAAAACTCAAAACAGACTACAATGCAGAAAAAATGGGAAGTCTATCTTTAAGATGGTAAAAGTAAAAAATAGTAAACAATCATTATTATTATTATTTTTTTTTAAAGTTAAAAACAGTAATAATAACATTCAATAGCACAAAAAAACAAATATGAATCCAAATGGAGTTAATTACATTAAGGATAGAAAATTATAATAATATTAAAATAGTTACAAAAAATAAAACACATTATGGCCGTTACAACATCAACACTGCCACAACAATGCTAAATATAAGAGTGATAGAAAAATAAGGAGAAGAATAACAGTCAAGAAAAGTAAAGGTCTACAGCAGAGCTGCCCAAAGCGGAGCCATGGGCAAAATGTTGCCCACCATAAGGTTCAGTTTGGCTTGACAAATCTTTCTAGTTAAAGGTAACTAAATATTAATTTAAAATATTAATAAAAACAGATGATTTTGCGATGAGGTAAAAATGCTTTTAAAATATGTAGGATCCATAATTTTATTTCTTTATAATCTGAACGGCCAGCAGACTGACACTTTGCACAGGGAGTCAGTAAACAACAAACTGCAATACGATAGCTGTTTCTTTTGGTCCGCAGCCCACTTTTAAGTTTCAGTTTTGGCCCTTCAAGGGAAAACGTGTGGGCAACTTGGTCTACAGTATTCAGCAGAGTTTAGCCCTTCTTGATAAACATTTATATGTAGGTTGTGCGATACAAGAGTCATGGTTCTCGAAGAAAATCTAGATACAAAAACCTTTTACAACATTATCTACAATGCATTCATACATTGGTACACTGTGTATTTATATTTGTAAGTCAATAGTTTGAATAACTTTTGGGACATAATAGGCTACAGGTTACAGTCTTAACAACAATGCAGAACATCATTACTTAAATATTGAACAATATGCACATATCAGAATAATAAATATAATTTTAATTGAAAACCTACTGAGACTTGTAGCTTAAATGTTCAAATCAAGGGTCTCAAACTGTCCTCCATCCCCCTCCCTCTGGCCTGCAACATGATGTCAAAAGGCACACAAGATTATTTTTTATTATTATATTTTTTAAGTTGTTTCAGAGCAATTTAAACTATCAATTCATATAAAATAAAAATACAATTATAGTTTAAAGAAGAAGAAGAACGAAGAGAGCAGATTTTGATCTTTCATCTGTTAACAACATAGATGATATAAAACAATATAAAATGTATAGAATAGGCTGTTTGCATTCTTTTTTTCCTATACTTGAGCGTTCAAATGTTTCCCTCCTATGACACAACAATACCTGCAGTGGCCCAGAGCCAATTTGAATTTGAGACCCCTGATTTAAATACTCTCTTCATGAGTAAACCAGCAGTAATTTATTCCACCCTTTCGTCTTCTTCTTCATGTTTCTCTCAACTTCTTCCCTGTTTGTTAATGAGGGCACAAGCAATCCAGAGCTCTGCTTGTTTGATGACCATCCTGCTAGTGTAAATTAACTGGCCTTCAGCTGCTGGTTTTCCCCAGGCTTTGATCCTTCGATGGGCTTCAGCCTGGCTGTACGATGCATGGTGCTGCCTGTAACTGACCGGCGCAGGGAGGACAAGCGATTGCGGAAGCCCTCTCCAGAGAAAAAATAAAGCAGTGGATCAAAGCATGAATTGGCAGCGGCCAGACACAGTGTCACCACAACAGACTTCTGCATGGCAATGCGCTCTGAGCAGGTAGTGTCAGTTTGGGACAGGAAGCTCAGGTGGATGGTGCGCTGTATGTGGTATGGCATGAAGCTGATTAGGAAGGTCAGCAGGACGATGACAATCATTCGGATGGCTTTGGTGCCTGTGTCCCGCTGTCGTCGGGCAGCGTGGGTGCGGGACAGAAGGGCGCGGACTATACCAGCATAGCAGAGCAGGATGACCAGGAAGGGCAGGACAAAGCCCAGCACCAGAGACAAATAGTTCAGCACGACTAGTTTCTTCACACTTTGACCAGTTTGTGGAGGCTCAAAGCACTTGGTTTTATTTGTCATTTTGTCAAAATGCTGGCCAGACATCAGGAAGGGTGAGGATGAAAGACAGATAAACACCCAGATACCCACACACACCAGACGAGCACGGTTCTCTGTCACCAAGCGCATGTTCTGCACTGGGAAGACAATGGCTAAGAAACGTGTGATGGACATGGCAGCCATAAAGTAAATACTGCAATAGAGATTTACATACAGGGCGTAGGAGCTAATGCGACAGAGGAAATCCCCTAGGTACCACTGGCCCTTGTTGACATAGTAGAGAACTCGGAGTGGCAGCGTCAAGACACACAGTATATCAGACACCGCCAAGTTAAGCATATAAACATGAAAGGGCGAGCTTTGGCGGTAGGTTCTGATCAACACTGCCAGGGCGAAGCCATTCCCAACCAGGCCTAACACAGTGATGAGGGAGTAAGATGTGGAGTAAACCTGGTTACGGAAGTCATCAATGGACGGACATTCAGTAGAGTTGCTTTCTCCGTTGTCTGCCATATTCCCATGCGCATTTGTGGTCACACCTGCAGCTGCTGAAAGACAAATAACAAAAAACGTAACTTTCAGAAAAAAACATGCAGAGTGTAATGCTGATGTGACTGTGATGTGGCAGATTGTTTCTGAGAGATTCTGTATGCTCTGTGCAGACTTCAGAGAAAACTCAGGAAGTAGATAAGCATTTTAGACCATTATCCTGTCACATGATGAAGTATGTGCTTATTTGTCATTTCTACTTCTGCTGCGTACGTTTTTTGAAAAATGCTGATAATATTGTTCATGAGTGCATAATTGTCTCTGTGTAAATAAGGTGATGGATAAAATGGATTACTTTCTCATGAACTCTACTGTACTGAAGGAGACTGTAGAGCAGACAGAAGCTGACTCTTGGATGGATCTGGCCCAGATGAGTTTTGCTATCTGGGAACATGCTGATGCCAAATTTTACCATCTATTTATCTGTACACAAAGTGTTACGTAATTAAATAACATGCATACTTTCCACATAAACTGCCAGCCTCAGATAAAAACACATGAAATTTATAATATAAAATATATCCAGTGAATGCATCTTAGTATTTGCACTTTTACAGTTTGTGAATTACATAAATGATTGTTACCAAATCATACCTTCGCGTCATTCAAGCATGCTCCATACAAGACTGTCTGCTGTATAAACTGAAAATGAAACACTGACGACCCAGTATGCAGATTTACATGTTACATTATAGTTACATGTACAGTATTTGTCTGTATATCGAGAAAGTTATTTATCTATGAGCTACTTCCCCTAAACAAAAGTGAAAACATCTCTGATGTAGTGAAAGCAATTCCGTAAGTTCCAATGTGATAAAAATCAGACTGCAGAGAGTTTTCCTTACCGCCGAATTCCTGTCTGGTGCCAAAGTGGTGCAGCCAGTCTGCTGATTCTTCTCTTCTAGTTGATGTGTACAACAGCAGTGCTGCTTCTCTGTGTGTCTCCTCCGCCTCTCTGCCTCGTCTGCCAGATGTCACAGCAGTAGTGGGAGGAGGATGCTGCTGCAGGTGGCTGCCTCTAGTTTTCTACTGTGCAGAATCAAGCATCAAGCACAATAACATAATTAACCATGCTTCCACACATAAAGTAAATGAAAGAATAGTGAGGGTAAAAACAAGGTGCATTAACACTAAAAGCTAACTCTGTCTTGAACATACTGCCAATGTTTCTCACACGTGAGTTGTAAGACACACTCCTTTGCAAAATACCAGCAAAGTCTCATTTGCTGGTGTTTGCTTGGTTGGATATACACAAAGACAGAACCGGTTCTACTCTAACTGTATGTGTGTACTGTAATTTAAGAAGTACACTTTCAACACACACTTTAAGTAAGCACAGTATGTTAGTCCTGAGTGCACTGAATGTGTCAATTCAGATGCAGCCTTGTTAAGGGGTCCAGTGTGTGGGATCTAGTGGCATCTAGTGGTGTAGCTGTAGACAGCTCCCTTGCTTCACCCTTCCATTCCAAGTGTGAAGGTGAAGTGGCCACAAAATGCACAAATAATACACCCTGACTAAACCCTAACTAATGCCAGTGTTTGGTTTGTTCATTCTGGGCTACTGTGAAAACATGGCAGTTCAACATGGCAGTCTCCATGGAAGGCAGTCCATGGCATCTGCTGTAATTTCTGGGGATTATACACTAATCAAAACATAGTTATGCATATTTTGTGTCATTTCTGCCAATAGATCCTCCTAAATGTTTCAAATGTATTTATTTATTTATTCTTTTTTATTTAATTTTAATACATACAACATACGACACAGGCCACACCAATACTATACATAAGAATACCATCCCCCAACACACCACGAGATACACATCATAACCAAAAGGCCAAGTCGTCATTACACCATATATCCAAACAAACACCCAAAACAGACACCCCAACAAATCCAAACAAAAGCCCTACACTTACAATACCTACAGACTCCTATATACATCTACTCAGACAATTGGTTATTAGTGTCTGTTATTAATTATTTTCAGCAGTCTGTTAAAGGTTGGTGCAGCTTGGTGTTCTGCAAACCAGTAAAGATCAATCTAACCTGATATCAGACGGTTTGAGGTGATAACAACATATTAAGATACATGTGTCAGCCAACGCAATCCTGCTTGACATATGATGTAATTTCCTTTGGATAATGCTAATGAGTGTGATTTACAGTTAGCCAGTAGAGTCCGGATACTAAAGTGGAAATGGGCATACTCATTTTTGCAGTTGAAAGGCCTGTGATCTAGAAGGAAAGAATAATTCATCTGTAACTCATTTAGTGGTTGGGCCCAAGCAAAGACAAACATTTAGCCCCACTTGCACTCAGGAGATGCCTGTATTAACACCACTTATTCTACATGATCAGATCATTATTCTACTAGCCTGATTATGCATTAAGTGCACCACAAAGAATACTTTCTGCAGGAGCAGAAAGTTGCAATAAATGTTTTAACCCTTCTGAGAGATGCTGAAAGTGCATTTAATATTTCTGAGTAGTCCCTTTTTAAGTTCTATAAAGTACCAGCTAATGCCACGTAATTGTTTATTGATTGCATAGTGGTTGAGGTCTTATTGTTGGCAAGAGATCATCTCTCCACAATCAGGGCACTTAATAGCTCATCAAACATGCCAAGGAAACTGTATTCATCAACAGGTTAATCAATACTTCAAACAAAGCAGTAAATTCAAATATAGGTGCACCAATTACCACAAAACATACTGCCTGTCTGCAGCTGAAGGTGGCAGACAACAAATGGTGGCTCAGTTGAGTGCAGTTTCATGAGCTGGTGTGGTTTCTTTGTGGATCATAATTGAAGTGAGCTGCAAAATCCAATAATGTGGAGGTGGGAAATCAAATACTTGATACACTAAGTGCATCCTCCCAGGGGTCATCCAATTTTTGAGAGTGGACTTACTCTATTCACTCAGACCACCATGGTTTCTTTGCGTATATTGTTTTTGTTAACTCACCTCATTATTCTATGATGTTTCCTACTTGTTTGGAAAAGGGGCCAAATGTCAATTAAGTAGTGTAGTGCTTTTTAGTTAACAGAAGAACTGGCACACTTCCATTGAATGAAGCCACTATTCATGTGTTTGTCACATGTGTCAAGTCAAATTTCTGTTGTAAGTAAAAACTATTGGTATTGTGTGGGTGGGACGTCAGTGAAGCATTGTCCTTGTTCTTGTTGTATTAAGGACTCCATCTGGTTGAGTTTTATGGTTGGTTGATTGTTTGGCTATTTGTTTGGTTGTTTGGTTATTTAGTTGTTGGTTGTATGGTCAGTAGTTTGGTTAGTTGGTTGGTTGGAGTATATGGGCACAGATGAGTATGGTCAGTCTCATGAACTGTTGAGGTGTCGTAGGAGAAATGCTTTTTTGTCTTGTAAGATTGTTTTGTTTCAAACACTGAAGCAAATTACTCCATGTGTACAGGAGGAGACACATATATATAGTATAGTTTCTTTATTGGACGATTCTGCAAAACTCCGGTTTATGTTTGGTGACAATGTTCTTTCATACTAAAATGTCTTATATGGCAACTATGGCATGGTTAAAGTTTTAGGAAAAGGAAAGTAAAGGAAATATTGTGGTTATTTTGGTGTGTGCAAACCAAACTATGGTTAGGCGTGGCCAGGGTTGGGCAACTAAAACTACTGGTTAGAGAAAGATCATGGTTATGGTTGATACAAAAGCAAACATTAACTGTGGGTCTGCATTGATGCCAACTACAGTTTCCTGCTTAACACTTAGAAATGTTGCACCCTGACCCAGTCGTCTAGCCACCACAAGCTGGCCCTTGTCAAAGTTGCTGAAATCCTTATGCTGTCCATTTTTCCTCCTTCTAACACATCAACACTGAGGACAAAAGCTTCACTTGCTGCCTTATATATACCACCCACTGACAGGTGCCATGATAATGAGATAATCAGTGTTCACTTCACCAGTCAGTGCTCATAATGTTATATGGCTGATCGATGTAGTTTCTCCTTTTGCGCTTGGAGGGGAAGGGTAAGACAGGGGTATTGTAATCTGCAACTACACCGTTAGATGCCACTAAATCGTACATGCTGGTCCTAAAAGTATTAAGTATTATTAACAAAGTATCACAAGTAAAAGTATTTATTGTGCTGTGAAATGGCCCCTGTCAGTGTTTTAATGTTTATCACTGCTGAATTAATGTGTAGCATTTTACTGCTGTAGATGTTTAAGCTAATTTTAACTACTTTTTATACTGTTATGTATTTAAATTTACAGCAATTCAACATATTCTATAACACCACTACATGTTGGTAGTGTTGCTATCTTGTAAGAACAAGGACTCTCCAAAATGCAACTTTTCATGAGCTCAGAAAATCAGCCCTGTTTACAACTTTGTGAAAATGCACTTTCCAGCTAATACAAGTGGGGATTTTAAATTGTTTATCTGAAGAAACGCTTAATCCTTCAGTTTATCACAGACATTCACATTTAAAATCATCACATTTGCAGATGGACTTTTTCACTGGACAGGACGGGTATGAAAAGGAGTAGAAGTATAAAGTTACATAAAATGGAAATACTCAATCAAAGTACCTTGAATTTGGACTACTTAAGTAAGTGTTACATTCCACCTCTGTCTAAACATAATCTCCCCCTAAACCTAACCAAGTAGTTTTAGTTGCCGCAATTTAAACCTGCATTAATTGATATGTTGATATGTTAAATACCTGTCTATTATTTAATCCAATAAACACAGAGCAACATTAGCAGTCATTTGGAGTTGTGATTGGTCCTAAAGAACCGCTTTTAATATAAAGCAGCCTTATAGGGAAGCTGTTAAATACTTGAGGTATCTTAACCACAGAGGAGGTAGATCACTCATAGTTTATGAGTCATTTTGGAAGGTATTAACTAACAGAATGTGTTATTATTTAAGTATAAACACTTGTCAACTTTTGTTTACTGGATACAGACACCATGCATATTTGACCTTGTGTTGCATCAAAGGCAGAGAAGCTGCAGCTCTATTCCTTTCATGGACGTGAGAGCAGCTGTTTCCCTTGAGCTAACACACATTATTACTGTGTGGTTTATTTAATCATTTATATGCTTTATACTGCTGGGGAGTAGCAGATGTTCACCTCATCTAATAGCAAAATAAAGTTAAGACTAGTTAAGTAATTTTAACAATTATCAGGATTTAACAGACAGATTAATGGCGTTGAGATAAAAAAAGGAGGCTTACTAAAGTCATCACAGACCATTAATGCCTGGGTGGTCGACTTATAGGAGATCTATTGTAGTTCAAATAGTTCTTTTTGTTGCTCTGACTGAGCAACAAAGTAGGTGAACTAGGTTGTGTATGTAGGTCACTTTATCTCTAAGATGTATTGTTCATCTCAGCACTTCTTCTGTGTTTCATAAAGAAGTACGTTGTCAGAACACTGGTGGGAAAGGAGCTTGCAAACAGCATATACAACTCTTGTGGTTTCCAAGTTGCTGACATTCTTCTTATCGCTTTATACATACTTCAGGCCAGTGGAAACAGCTGTACATCTGACTATTCAGTACATACATCTTATGTACAAAGTTAATATTATATATTATAGAATAACACTTAATTGGTTCAGTTTACAGAACATAATTAAAAATTAAAGTTACAAATTAATTATGGCACAACATACAGTGAATACATGAATCATTTCAATTAAGCCTTGTGTAGATACCCCACACACATATTCAACATCAATGAAACCAAAATAGTCAAGTGCATGCAAACAAACACACACAGACACAATGTATTTGGCAGCGTATAAAAAGGAAAAAGGAGAAATGTACTTATCTCCACAAAAAAGCTTCCTGTTATTGTTTATCTGGTGATGTGCATTAAGCCGTCTTTGAATCTTTTAACATCCATGTGGTTGTAATTTGAGGCATCATGGGCGTATTCCACATAAAGGTACTGGCAGATTCAGAAATCATGTGGGGAAATTTCATCATATGTAAGTACTGTTAATTTAGTCTGTATTTGCCTATATGACTTTATGTTTGTATATGAACACACAAAGTTAACCTTTT